GCACCCTCGGGGCAGTAAATATTATATTACCACAGGGTGTGCAGTACGTGACCTGAGACGGGCCCCGGGGCTTAAGTTTCCCCGAGATGGAGCTCGCGCACCCGCTCCCCCCACCCTAAAAATTCAATTAAAAAAAATAACAGGAAAGACGCAGCGCGCCGAGGGCCTGCCAGAGCGGTGCCGTGGCGCTCCGGCGGTAATTGGTTCTGCATAGCTCGGGGAAATTGGCAGAAAAAATAAATCAGCCGGGAGCCGGGAGTCCAGACGCTGCGGGGAGGGGGCGGGGGCTGCAGCGCTGAGCGGGCCTGGCGCAGCAGCGTTGACGAATGTCCTGTTTGAGGGCAAGGGCTGGGCCAGCTGGAGGGTCCTGCTTGGGGAGGGAGAACTGGAACTCACCCCCTCTTTTCTAGCATTTCTCCTGGGTGTGTACATCCAGCCCTGGAACAGTGTGGAGCGTCCATCTGTGAGGCTTTTAGAGAGTCTCCCGTGTGTTGGGTCGGGGATCAGAGGTCTTTGCCCCCACATATGATGGACTTTAATTTAACCCCTCACTTGGGCTTTCAGCGCTGTTATTTGAGGGCTACAGTACCCCAGCAGTGCTCAGAAGACTTTCCAAAGCTCAGGATTCTGAGAGGGCCATCTTGGGGCAGCCGGGCTGCATGCTTCTGTATTCATGGCTGCTGGCCTCCCCACAGCGTCTGCAGTAGCTAATCAGGGGTCCATAAATTTCTTTCTTGGAGAAAGTGTGCTCCCAACACAGAAGGGATTTATTTTAGTGTGGGGCAACTTAGACTCTGGCCTCTGCCCTAGACAACACAAGGGGGCAGGAAAAGGACCCTCTAGGTCCTCTGAGAGTTTGCAGTCGGCTTGTAAAGGGGTCACTCATACAAACGAATCCACCAGACTGAAGGTTGAGGGGGAGTCCCAAAAGGATCTCCTGGGAATAAAGAGGCATGTTTCAGAGTAGGAGTATGAGGGCCAGGCTGTGTGTGGGAGGCTTCCTGGAGCAGGCAGGCAGGCAACTGAGGTGAGCACCCGACAGACTGGCAGCGAGCAGGGACCCTGTAAATGTATGTACTATGAATAGGCGCATGCATGCACCTGCCTCTGTGGTGTGTGGAGCCCTGGTGAACAAGCCCATTCCACCTGTCTCTCATAGTCAGCCCCTGTGTGACATCCATGAAATACCTTCTGCCACCCACCTTGATCAGTATCTGTTCCGGCTACGTACCTGTCACCTCAACCAGATCAAAGAAGCTGCCCTGGCCTTGAAGCTTGGACACAGTGAGCTCCCTGCTGCCCTGGAGCAGGCTGAGGACTGGCTTCTGCGTCTCCGTGCCCTGGCTGAGGAGGTAATGAATCCTGAGGGACCTTTAGTCTTCAGTTTTCCTGCCTCCTGGAATGTAGACCAAACGTTTACACTGTGATACATTCCTGGGTCTGTTGCTGGGTGTCCTCACACAGGTCATTTAACCTGAGTATTAGTATGCCCATTTGCGGGACACAGCAGCATACTTACTAGGTGTTGCAGGGTCCAACTCAGAGTCTGGCACACAGTAGGTACTTAACACTCAATAGATGGCCTAGCCTGCTGAAGGATGTCAGAGCAAGGCTAGTACCAAAATCCAGAGTGTCTGGCTCTAGGTCTCATGTTGAAACCTCTTCCTTAGGAACCTGACTCCTGCATAGCCCCAACCCCCCCCCACCACCACCTACCTGTCTGTAGGAAATGTGGATAGTGAGAAAGGGATGGTACCCAAGCATGTACAGGGAGAGGGTGTCTGGAACAGAGGGCTGTAGAAAGACAATGGGAAAGGCTGCTTGGAAAGGGGTGATGAACCCTAGAGTTTCCCTGGGCAGGGTGATAGGCACATGACCAGTTCCCTGGGCATATCCTCATAGTGGTAGGGACTGTCCCCCAGTCTGGTCATTGGCAGCCTCTGGAGCCTGCTCCTGCTCCTATCCTCTTCACAGAGTTTGTTCTATGGCTAGGAGAAGGCAAGGCCTGGAGAATCCTCCTCAACACACTTCCAGGTCTGACCCCCAGGTCTGGAGCCTCACTCTCTCTGAGGAGGCCCTGTTGCAGTGTTGTCTACTCCTGTAAGCCTGCAGACCTTAGGGTCAGCAGGAGGAAGAAGGAGGCTCATCTGGGCAGGTCACATCTCCCACAAGAAAAGACTTAAGAGTTGTACTTCATACTCTGTGCAGGGGCATCTTCCCAGAAACCCATGGGCATCTCAGAGACATTTGTGGGAGCTCCTCTGTAAGCCAAGAGCCAAAGGCAGGGCCCTGAGTGGCTAGTATGGGATGGGAACTGGGTGAGGCAAGACCATTGTGGCCCTTGAGTTAGAGATCAGGATAGCTCTGGACATGTAACCCACTATTCCCACTTTGACTACCACCCCCTCTCCAGCCCCAGAACAGCCTGCCAGATATCATCATCTGGATGCTGCAGGGCGATAAGCGCGTGGCCTACCAACGGGTGCCAACCCATGAAGTCCTCTTCTCCCGGCGGGGCCCCAGCTACTGCGGCAGGAACTGTGGGAAGCTGCAGACCATCTTTCTGAAAGTGAGTATTCTCTCTTCCAGGGCAACCATAGGGTTTTCTCAACACATGGCCTTTCTTCAGCTTCTTCTGGCTCCCCATCCAGTCCTGCTCTGAAACTATCTGAAAGTCCTCAGACATTCATCTTGGGCCGGGAGGGGTATTTGAGTAAAATAACTTGCTTTTTGTTCACTTTCCCCAAAACTCTCCAGACCCTGTGCAGTGAGTCTAGGAGGCTTGTTGGTAGGAGCTGGGATGTGGATTTTGTAATGACGTAGAAAAACAGAGCCTGGTGGCACCCACCTGTCCTAGCATTTGGGAGGTAGAGGCAGGGGCATCAGGAGTTCAAGATCATCCTTGGCTACACATTGAGTCTGAGGACAGCCAGGGCTACACAAGACCCCGTTTTTTTTTTGTTGTTGTTTTGTTTTGTTTTGTTTTTGAAGTAAAAAAAAAAACCACCCATGTGTGTGTTTGTGTTCAAGACTTTATTGCTTACTGGGGCTGGTCTCTTTCAAGAATCATCCTTGATTTCTCAAATGGCCTCCAGACCTGCCCCAGTGGCCTCAGCTACAGCCACTGAGGGGAAAGTGAGTGGGTGCTTGTGGAAGGGCTCCCGTCATCTTCTTTAGCTCATCACTGGGATACAGAGCCCTGGAGGCTTTGGTCATGGCTCCAGCCAGATGACTGGATTGCAGTGTGCACCCTCCTGAGGTGACGTCTCTGTATATAGCCATCCTCAGTGGCCAGGGAACCAGCTGTTTCTTACCACTTCCAGTTCCAATGGCTCTGCTTTCAAGGCCTCCTCAGCCTACATGGCTTGTCTCCACTCCAGCCTGGCCCATTTCCCCAGAGTCTCTGCTGCAGCTATAACCCTTTTTGGTTTTGTTTGTTTGTTTGTTTGTTTTGTTTTTTGTTTTTCGAGACAGGGTTTCTCTGTGTAGTTTGGAGCCTACCCTGGCACTCGCTCTGGAGACCAGGCTGACCTCAAACTCACAGAGATCCGCCTGCCTCTGCCTTCCGAGTGCTGGGATTAAAGGTGTGCGCCAACAACGCCCGGCTGCTATAACCTTTCTTTACTTGGTACCTCACATCTCCAAGCTTCCAGGAGTCATCATTGGCCATATCTCAGCCTGGACCCTTCTGAGGAATGCCATCCCCTGGCTGCTAGCCTACCTGTTTTTTGTTGTTCAGTCATTCTTGTTGCCCCTTGGGGTGGGAAGAGAGGGCTGGTTCCAACTGCACAGCCTGTCTGAACAGATTGCCAGTGCAGGTTGGAGTTCTGTCTGGCCTTGAGCAGGTCACCAAAGTTCTCTGAATAGCCTACTTTCTTCCCACCTATGAAATGAAAACGAGGCCGTCTACCTCACAGGCACTGAAGACTGACTAGACAGTGAACACATTGCTTCGTGAATGAGATGGTCAACAGACACTCATTCCTCTGTCCCTCTGCTCGCCTCTTAGTTTGGGGGCAGTCCCTTGCTCTACAAAGGCCGCGTTTGGAGATCCATTCTAGGCCAGTGTGCTGGGTAGTTTTATGTCAACTTGACACAAACTAAAGTCATCTGAGAGGCAGGAACCTCAATTAAATAAAAAATGTCTCTATAAGATTGAACTGTAGGCAAGACCACATTTTCTTAATTAGTGATTGATGGGGGAGGGCCCAGCCCATTGTGGGTGGTGCCACTGCTGGGCTGGTGGTCCTGGGTGCTATAAGAAAGCAGGCTGAGAAAGTCATGAGGAACAAGCTGGTAAGCAGCAGTCCTCTATGGCCTCTGTATCAGCTCCTGCCTTCAGGTTCCTGCATTGTTTGAGTTCTTGTCCTGACTTTTAATACTGAACACCAATATGGACATATAAACTAAATAAACCCTTTCCTTTCCAAGTTGCTTTTGGCCATAGCAGTTTTTTTTTTCCAAATTATTTATTTTGTACACAGTATTCTACTTACATGTATGCTTGGATGCCAGAAGAGGGCACCAGATCTCATTATAGATGATTGTGAGCCACCATGTGGTTGCTGGGAATCGGACTCAGGACCTTTGGAAGAACAAGCAGTGCTCTTAACCTCTGAGACATCTCTCCAGCCCCGGCCATAGTGTTTTTAATCACAGCAATGGTAACCTTAACTAAGATAGCCAGGACTGAGATAATCAGTACACAAAGACTGATATTTCAGAGGGGAAGATGCGGATGTGTGTGTGTGTGTGTGTGTGTGTTAGGCAGGAATCATGATCTTCTCACCTGCTCCTGGACCATATGAGGTACACTCTTTGTTTGAGTTCTGGCCTCAGATTGCCCTCCTAGGCTGACCCTTTCCTTGTGCGTGTGGAATGTGGACGGGGAGGCAGCGTGCGTGGGCTGGCAGGGCAGTGAGTGGTGAGAATGCAGGCAGGCTGTAAGCAGGCCTGGTAGGCTCTGGAACACCTCTCCCTCCAGTTCTGACCTCTTTGCCCTGAAGCCTCCAGGAGGTGAACTGAAAATGTTCCCCGATTCCATGCAAAAGAGAGAGAGAGAAAAAAAGATATAGAATTGTTTCTCGAAGTCTTCCCCACTGAGTTCATGAGCCTGCCAGTAGCTCCTGAGCAAGCGCTACAAAAATGTTGGCAGCGGGCAGAGACCAAGCAAACACTGGTGTTCCTTAACTTAAACCCAAGCTGGAAAAAGTGAGCACCAGCAGAAGAGAGAAGCCCCAAACTAGACATTTCTTTATTTGCTGTTGCTATTTTCGGTTGGGCAGGCTGGCCCCGTCTGGGGGAGGTTGTTGGTGGGGAGCTCGAGGTGAGGGAAGAAAGGGAGGAGGCAGGCATTCCTGCCATGTCCCAAGGGTTGGTGGCTTGGAGGGAAAAAGACAGCTAGCCACCCCGAGGGAGGGGACAGCGGAGTGAACACCACAGTGAGTTCCTGGGGACTGGTGGGATAAGAGGTGCTTCCACACCTCTCCAAGGAAGACTGAAAAGAGATGGGCCAAGAAACGGGAGAAGGTCAACCAACAATGGTCTATGCCACTTCCTAAGCTTTCTCTTGGCCTGGGCTCTACCTCTAGGGGTCCAGGCCTTCCCCACCAGCTTAGGAATCCCCACACTAGCTCTCAGCTTTTTCTGAACCCACCCATACACCCTGCTGCTCTTACTCAGTGAGCTGTCTCTCACCATGGTGTCTCCTCTAGGGGACAGGGTGTCATTTTAAGAGGGAGGAACTCTGCTCCCCAAGGCCGAATCTGACCTTTGGTTTTAGTCAAATGGTGAAGTAATCGTAGAGAACATATATATGTTTTTAAATGTTGGGTTGTTGCGGTTATTCCATTTGGCAGAGCTTCTGAAGCCTTCAGGATAAAAAAACAGCTGAGCAGCAAAGAGCGGTTAGCATGCTGATAAGCGCTGGAAATTGTGGGGACATTATATGCAATGCTCACGTCTAGCCAAAGCATGAAGTACTGAAAATGAAATGAAGTGGCTTTAACGGCTCCTCTTCTGGAGCTGGGTCCCTGCTCTTCTGTTTCTAGGATGGTGCTGTCCAGCGCAGCAGCCTTGTATAGCTATTTAAACTAGCGAATGTCAAATAAAATGAAAACTGCAGTTCCCTGGTTACACGAGCCACTTCTCAAATGGCTTGTGGCTGCCCTATTGGACCTTGCAGATCTGAGCCATTTCCATTGTAGGTGAAAGTTCCCTCAGATGACAGAAGTAAAAAGATGGCAGGAGAAGGGGATATTGGTGACCCTGTTGCAGACATGACCCCATCTGTAGAGAGCTCCTACATGGCTGCTATAGACTTCTTTGGTGAACAGGACTCTTGTGGAAAAAACTTCTTGCTTATATATGCCACTTGTACGACATTTTGTGAAATCCCCCAACAGTACACCTAACTAGGTGTTGAGCTGGTATGCCCAGGTCTGAGGGGCTGTGAGTGTTTGTGTTTCTTTGACCCCAGTATCCCATGGAGGGCGTGCCTGGGACCCGAATGCCTGTGCAGATCCGGGTCAAGCTCTGGTTCGGGCTCTCTGTGGATGAGAAAGAATTCAATCAGTTTGCCGAGGGGAAGCTCTCCGTCTTTGCCGAAACGGTAGGTTCCTGCCCACATACTGGCCCTTAGATCCTGGATTTCATGACCCCTCACCTCTCTTCCTTCTTTGGTCTGCAGTATGAGAATCAGACAAAGCTGGCACTGGTCGGGAACTGGGGCACAACAGGCCTCACCTACCCCAAGTTTTCTGACATCACAGGCAAGATCAAACTACCAAAGGATAGCTTCCGCCCCTCCACCGGCTGGGCCTGGGCAGGGGACTGGTTCGTGTGTCCAGAGAAGACGTGAGTCCCAGGGTGGTAGAGGGCTGTGCAGGGTGTCCAACCGTGGCCTCCCTTTCTCCCTAGCCCCTCCTCTGAAATCTTGAGATCTGTGGATCCTTCTACCTGCTCCTTGCTGGTCACAACGACTGCTGCTTAGACCCTCCTGGGGCTGGCACTTGCCATGAAAATCTCAAACACTCAGAAATAAAGTGCTCCATGTGGCTGGGGAGACACTCAGTGGCCAAAGCACTTGTCACACAAGTGACTTGATGAGTTCAGTTCCTTGGAACCCATGATAAAGCCCAGTGCAGTACTTATCTATAACCTCAGTGCTCCTACAAGGAGATGGGAACAAAGACAGGAGACTCCCCTCAGGCCTTTGGGCCAGCTGGCCTGACATACTTAGCAGTGACAACCGAGAGACCTTGTCTCAAACAGATCAAAAGTGAGGACTGACACCCAAGATTGTCCTCGACCTCCACATGGATGCCATAGTATGTGTGCAACCCCCCAACCTGCACCCACCGAGTGCATGTACACACACATACTCATACATATATACAGTAAGCATTCCGTGGAGTTGGTACCCAGTCATATGTCTTGCCCTCCATGATACAACAAAGTCCTCTCATTGCACATATGTGACCATTCCTGCTCCAGGCAGCTCACTTGCTCCCTGGATGGCTACAGTTCATACATCTTATGCCACTCTCTATACTTTTTTTTTTTTATAGCCGGGTGACATCCAGTAACTTTTATTTCTGCAAGCTTGAAGTAGATTATAGAATCAAGTATTAAATCTTTAATGTATAGTTTGATGACATTTTCTTTGTGCTATCCATTGGGCTTTGGTGCCTCCTATTGGTTCCCTTTTTCTTCTTTTACCTTGGGTGACACATTCTTTGGCCTGTGACCACCCCTACCTGTTCTGAGCCTCCTTTTCATCCTCTGTCCCCGTCTCTCTGCCTCTATCTATGTTGTAGTGAGGTTGACAGTGCCGGTGGGCTGAGGTATACTGTTCTCTTGGAGGCAGAAGATAGGTGGTAGGGTTCTCCGTGACCCTCTGACTGTCTCCCCAATAGCCTGCTCCATGATGCTGATGCTGGTCATCTGAGCTTTGTGGAGGAGGTTTTTGAGAACCAGACCAGGTTACCCGGAGGCCAGTGGATTTATATGAGTGATAACTACACCGATGTGGTAAGGGGATGCTCCAGGTGGGTAGCCTATGCTTTTCCCAGGGTCCGGGATGTTTGGTCCCATGAAGAACTTGTGACTCAAGAAGACCAGGTGTCTTCTCCCCTGCTCCTACTTTCTGACCCATTTTCTCTGTGCTCCACAACGATGGTGTCCTTGTGTCTTGTGGGTTCCTGGTCTGTATCATCTCACACTTGCCTATTGTGTCTCTAGAATGGGGAGAAGGTGCTTCCGAAGGATGATATTGAATGCCCATTGGGCTGGAAGTGGGAAGATGAAGAATGGTCCACAGACCTCAATCGGGCTGTTGATGAGCAAGGTGGGAACACACAGAGGCTCGGGTCTTACCCCAGCCACCTCCTAGGTGTGCTAGTGAGACAGTTGAAGGCCCTAGGCAGTTAGTTGTCTGGCTTTCATTGGGATACTTTACCCGGGGAACTTCCTGAACATGCCTCCATTTCAAGGTACCAGTTAGGCCCAGAGTTTTAGCTGCTCAGGGTCTGAGCATGCCTCACAAAGAGAGATAGCTTAGAAGAGATGGGGATTTGTTGACAATGACTTACAGGTTTTATCCCAACCCCTAGGCTGGGAGTACAGCATCACCATTCCCCCAGACCGAAAGCCAAAACACTGGGTCCCTGCTGAGAAGATGTATTACACTCACAGACGTCGGCGCTGGGTCCGACTGCGCAGGAGGGACCTCAGCCAGATGGAGGCACTGAAGAGGGTGAGCCAAGAGGAGGTGGGTGGGAGTGGGGCTTCCAGATGGAGGAAGCTAGTGGACGCAGGGTTAGACCTGTGTGCACTGACAAGCATGTCAATGCTCATGTAATATGCACAGGCACACAAGACCTGTATTCGTTATGTTTCTGCTGCCGTGATGAAGCAATATGGAGGAAAGTTGTTGGTGGGCTTGTAGTTCCAGAAGGTTAGAGTCTGTCGTGGTTGGGAGGCAGAGCTGCAATTAGCAGGCATGGCAGTCAGACCAGAAAGCATGAAGCAGACAGAAAACTGGAAGTGGTGGGAGGATTTTAAATTCAGAACCCCCCCCCCCCCCGTGACATAGTTTCTCTAGCAAGGCTATACCACCCAGACCTCCCCAAACAATGCCACCAATTGGGGATCAAGTATTCAAATTCCCCAGGGGACATTCTCATTCAAAACACCTCTAAACCCAGTAAATTCATTGACAGGTCTCATCCAGATCAATTTAGCACATATACACATCACACTGAAAATATGGGTCACACTCTGCACACAGATCACACCCCCCTGCCCCAAAACACAGGCCACACTTGAAACGTGTAGATTATACCAGCGTCCACAGATCACACCTGGTGCTCATGGATGCCCTCAGCCCCAGAACAGATACGTGTGTCTGAGTACTACAGAATCCACCTGTGGCATCCACTTACAGTTTCTGAAGGCGCAAGGTTGTCAAAGGAAGTATTTGGTGTTTGGTTTCCTAGAGGGAGACTCCATGATATGGAGACATAGGGTAAGGACCCTTGAACCCCACAGATAATCCTTACCTGGAGGCAGGGCATGGGGTCTACACCCTCTGAGCTGTCTGCCATTGGCTACTGGCTGGTAGGATGTGCCTGGACACATGTCTCCACAGGGAGGTGACTTGTTAGTGGTGGACTGGCTCCTGAGCCATGCTTCTGGATGCCTGTGATAGGCCACGTGTGGGTGAGTGAGTAGATAAGACCCATCGGTGTTCACCCAAGGATGCCATGGAAAACAGGACCCGCCCACAGTACTTTCTTGTGATCACACATGACCACATGCACCTGTCCCTGAGTCTGGGAATGTTCATGCTCAGCCCAACCTCAGGACCTGCCTTCCCTGGGTCTTCTTGTCATCTAGCCTTCATTCCTAAGAACACATTTGGGTTTTGGTAGCAGAACCAGGCCTTTCCCACTGTTTAAGTGGAAAAGTCTTTAGGGGACCCAGCTTCCCTTTTTTCCCTTTGAGCAGTGGCTCTAGAGAGGGATGTCTGGGTCTGGGGACATCCAGTGGTTGTAGACAAGCCACTGTGAACCAGGCTGACATTCTTCCCGCCCATGGAAGACATCTAGTTGTTAGAGGTGTGGGCCTTGCTTAGGGTCCCAGACAGAGTTGACATTTAACAGCAGCAACTGTGTCAGTCTCTCACAGGGCCCAGGGCCAGGCAGTTCTGGGCTTCCTGCAGGAAAGAGTCCCTTTAGAGGAGAGGCAGGGTCTCCTCACAGTTGGCCTAGGTCCACATCCTAGTGAGAAGTAGCCTGACCTTGGGAGGCAGGCTCTGTGCTTTGCCTCTGAACTGCAGACCCATTTCTATGTTTAGAAGCTGGGACATGAAGGGGAAAAAGGAAATGACAAGAAAAGCTGGATTCAGGCAGTCCACCCCTAGTTCAAATAAACAGCCCAGTGTCTAGCTCTGCTGCTGTCTACCTTCCCTGCTGGCCTCCTCAGCTACCCGGTGGCCTAGGTACCTCCTTTCTTTCCTGGGTTTCCTACCTCAAGGCTGCTCCAAGCCACCTTCTTGCAGGTGGTTCTTCCAGTCTTAACCCTTGGAGTCCTGCCCTGTCACTCCCTCATAGCTGCCTCCTCTCTCCTACAGCACAGGCAAGCAGAGGCTGAAGGCGAGGGCTGGGAGTATGCTTCTCTCTTTGGCTGGAAGTTTCACCTGGAGTACCGCAAGACAGATGCTTTCCGCCGTCGCCGCTGGCGCCGCCGCATGGAGCCACTGGAGAAGACCGGGCCTGCAGCTGTGTTTGCCCTCGAGGGGGCCCTGGTACATTGGGTTGCATCTGGCTGGGCTTGGGTGGGGTGCAGCTTGCCTTTCCAAGGCTGATGTGGGACAGGCATGGAGCCCCTAGGGTCATGGTTTGTAGATGGAACATTGGCCAGCCATCCTGGCTTGGGTCCCTGTGGGGTGGCGTGTGGGGAGAGTGAGCAGCATTCTGGGTGTCTTCCTAAAATAAGACAGCTTCTTTCTTGACACTGGAAGACCCACTGCTTCTCTGAGTGTGAAGATGAGAGCAGAGAGGGAGGTGGCCTGGGCCTCTGAGTGACTCACAGACAGTAAAGCCAAAGAACCTAGAGCTTCCTGCAGAGATGGGCTGGTATGGGTGGGAGAAGAAGTCTGGGAGTGACCAGAGAGGTCTGGTGACCCTGACATATCCTTGACTGGACAGTTCTCCCCAGGAGGAGGCTTTGATAGGGTTTGGGGGAGACATACCTGAGAAAGGGAAATCCCTGTGCCATTGTCTATAGTCAGTAGTACTGGAGTTTGTTCAAGTGACTCAAGATCTGGGTGGTGAGCCCCAGGAAGAGATGAAGGCAATCGAAGCAGGGACATTTGGGGCTGCCATACAGCCTGTTCTCTGTTCTGCTAGTCTAGAGGCTCCTGGAGACAGAGTGAAAGACCTGAATAAGACCACTACTTCTGAAATACAGATAGTATTATGTATGAATTTTTTTTTTTTGGTGGGGGCTCTGGGGTGTGAACCTGGGAAGCAGGTCCCATCAGCCTTTATGTACAAGGTTGTCTGTATCAATGTATATTTGCATATCAGTGGGTCTAGGCAGCTGTGAGGCCTGGGAGAGTCTAGCGGGGGATGGACCCAGGATGTGATGACTGGAAGCAGAAAAGGAGGTGGAAGCCAGTGGCGCCCCCTGCCCCAAAGGCTGGCCAGAGATATTCTTCAGCTAAGGTAGAGCAACCCCCTGAAGACCAGGTAACAACCTGTGACAGACTGTAGAGAGAACGTTCTAGTCCTAGACAAAGCCTGGGAGAGAAGCAGAGTCATCCTGGGCTCTGGGCCACTAAGCAGTTTTCAGCCAGGACAGGAGAAAATGAGATAGCTCTGTGGCTTCAGGAAGCAGGACTGTGTGTAGCTGCCTGTGTCCTGTGTTGGCCTGGTTTGGGCACTGGGCAGGGTCTAGGGATGGTCCTGTGACGGAGGCAGGAAATAGGGAAGAGCTTGCAGAAGGCCAGGCAAGCACTGAAGAGACTAATTCTTTCTCATTAGGCAGAGACTGGAGGCTGGGGAGATGGCTCAGTGGGCAGAGTGCAAGCCTGGGGGTCTGAGTTTGAGCCCTAGCTTCTACATTAAAAAGCTAGGTGTGGTGGCATGTGCTTCCCCAGTATCGGGAAAGCAGAGGCAGGAGGATCCCTGGGGACCTTTGGCCAGTCAGCTTAGCCTAACCATTGGGATCCAGGTTCCAGTGACAGAAAACAATGCGAACACTACAGAGACATTCCACTCATAAGGGCCGATGAGCAAGGGGGCTTTGGGCCTCACTCAGCTGAAGGGTGCTCTGGAGAGGAGCCAGGTACTAGGCAGCAGGAGACTGAGGTTTTCAGGGCATCCCTGGGACTCTTCTCTGTCTCAGCTTCATCTCATGCTTATTTTCTCCTTGGTAGCAACGATGGTGGTGGTGGCAGAAGACATGCCACATCCTGACAGCCATAGCACCCTGCTAGACAAAGGCATGCAGCCTTCCTCCCATATGGAGAGCCCAGGGTGGTTCAACTCCAGGAACAAAATGGCCTCAGCTGGTTGTGTGCCTGTGCCAGCATCTGTGCCTGGAGTGAGGGGTGGAAAGCTCTGGATGACCACACTTGGGCTCTGTGATTGGCAGCACCAGTAGGTTCGCTAGAGGAACTTCTGAAAAGGAAGAGATACTGGAAATAGTGGTAAGCAGAGAGTTTGGAGGGATGGTCCAGGATTCTTCTCAATGGATACCATGGAGCTGAGTGCATGGTTGAGCAGAGGCGAGCTCCGGTTGGAGCAGGGGTTGGGGACCATGAATAAAGTAGCTATGGAAAGTAAACGAGAGAAAGAATGTCCCATCAGAAGATCCAGGAATAAGGCTACCACACAAGGAAGGAGCTGTGGGACCAAGGTTGTGTTTGGAGTGGCAGAGGGACACACAGAGGCATCAAAGGCTCAGCAATATAGATGGTAAGGGAGCCAAGAGGGCTAAGCCACAGGGTGAGCCCAGAGTTGCTATGAGTTCACCGTTGGCTCTGGCTAGTCTGACATTCGGTGTCGCTGTGTGAGGAAAGCAGATCTGGTGGCAGCCTGCCAGGTGGCCAGGGCAGGGGAAGCGGGATGAGTTGGGGCTGAGTGTCAGCTGGGAGGGGCAGAACAAATGGCCAGAGGTGCTCAGAAACACACGGATAAAGGCAGGTGCTAGAGCAGGGAGGGACTTGGAGAAGGAAGGCAAGCAAGGCTAGGAGACATGGCCCAAGATTCTCAATGTAAAGACTGGGGGAAGGGGCATGGTGTTGATGACATTTCCCAGAGATACCGACTAGCTGCTGTTTGTGGGAGAGCATGTCATGGGGGTCCACTGAAGTCAAATGTCAAGTTGGCAACATGGGAGGGTTGATGGATTTTGACTCATTTGTGATTAGCTTATGAGACACGGAAGGAACCAGCTTCAGGAAGCCCTCTGCATCCCTGGGGAGCACAATTGCCTGAGGGAGAAAGTCTGTGATTGCTAGGGTGGATCCCCCAGGCTTCTGTAGTGCCCTTAGGACTTCAGTTTCTGGGCAGAGCTCTTATCCTTTTTGATAGTAACTGTCTGGATCACTTCGTAACCGAGTAAATGGAATCCCCTCAGCCCCAGCGTAGACACACAATTCCAGCCTACATATCCCTGTACCATACTTCATTTTTACAGTCAACTTCACTTGCTTCCAGCCTGGTCAAAGTGTGGACTGGGCTTCCATCTCTGAGTTCCTTGCACTGGAACATTCTGGTGTCATAGCCCAGGACTCATGCTCACTCTGTATCACAGGACAGATTGCCAAGGGTTCTGTTTCTGGGACCCCACGGCTGATCCCTGGTGTCCTGATGCCTAACCTGCACCTGGTATAAGTGTGATGGCTGACAGGCTTCCTGGGTGCTCTGGATCTTTCTTCTGCCTCCCATGCCTCTGGGACTCTGTTACATCACTTGGAAGAGACCACATCTTAGCATCACTGGAAGGATTAGCAGCGACTGTGCAGGCTAATGAGCAGAGAAGTCAGCTAAGGACCTGTTACAATGCTGGCTCTCATGCAGTGTCTGGGTGGGGCTCAAGAATCTCTACAGCTAACAAGGTCTTTCCTAAGTAACGAGCTGTTGCTGCTGCTGCTGGCTCCAGGGCCATCTATGAGTGTGGAGGACAGAAGATAGAGTACATTGGCCTCCATCAAGATGCTTTTCTGAGACAGGCTGGGTGTATGGCCAATGTCACAGATGGAGGCAAGATAGCTTGGTCTGTCCTTTGGTGGATCTGAAGCTAGAGGCTTGGTCCACAGGAGAGCTCCTCTGTGATTTAGGGAGCTACAGAGATTTTCATGTGTGACTGTGAAGAAACCTGCTGCCTTCTATATCTTTGCTATTCTATAATTATTCCAGAGTGACCATGCTGAGGGGGAGGGTGCTTGGAGGAGGTTATAGAGAGAGAGACCTTGAAAGAGCCAGAGAATGTCTGTGGGTGGGGTTAGGGGAACCTCCTGGGAATCTGAGGGGTTTGAATGTCTGGGCCCCAGGACTAGGCCTGGTTATGCCTTGCCTCCTGCCACCCCTCCCCTGGCCTGCCAGCACCCTCTGGAAATCGTCTCCTTGGAAGGCAGGCCCTGTCTGCTCGTTAGCACCAGCAGCAGGGGCCAAGCCTGGCTCCCTCCTCAGAGCGGGAGGCCCTGGCTCAGTCTGCTAAGCGTCTGCTGTCTCCATCCGCGCATTATTTTATTTTCGTACTATTCTTTTTCCAGCTAATATCCTGGCATTCCCAAAGACACCGGGTTTCATAATCTTCCTGGCGTTCCCAGGGAGCTGGGAATCGGAGTACAAAGCCGCTATTATAGTGAGTTCCATCAGCCTCCTCCTTACCCCACACCCCTTGCTGCCGCCACAGCCACCACCGCCCGACTCCCACCCAGTCACCCCCTCCTGACCCCACCAGCCTCTCTGGGGAACTTTAGTGACGGCTTCTGGGGATGAGCTCACGGAATCTGTCCTGTCGTCCTTGCCCTAGGCCTGCCCTCCAGGCACGAGGATTTTTCCAAGCCCTGCCTCTGTAGTTGGCCTTGCTAGAGGGGCAAGGCTTCCCCAGCTGCAGAGGCAGCCTGGCTGGGAGGGAGGAGACAGGCCTGAAGTGTGTGCTGGCGGCCTTGGTGCCTTCTAGAGCTGAGAAAGACTTCAGTGTGCAAAGGTGTATGTGAGCCTTGGAGCCTTGGGAAGTTGGATGCCTTTCTCTCTCTCTCTCTCTCTCTCTCTCTCTCTCTCTCTCTCTCGCTCGCTCTCTCTCGCTCTCCCTCTTTCTCTCTCTGGCTTGCCACCCCCTCATCTCCCCCCCCCCGCCCTGTGTGTGTTCTGCCCTTTGGCATATCTGATGCTTGTGTATGTGTCTGTGTGATGGTTAAATTCTGGTGTCAGGCCTCTGGCATTTTCTACTCCTCTAGGGCATCCAAGTCCTCAAGAGAGAATTACTTAATCTTTTTAGCCATGTGCCACAAATCAGGCAGATAGGTTTACATGCTGCCCTGTATCCCACAGTGATCCTGAAAAACTGGATGCTGACATTAGCCCATTTTACAGATGGGGACAATTGAGGTGTTGAACCTCGCCTCTGTCTACAATTGGTTCTTTAAATTTTTTTCTAAAGTAATCAGAATAAGAAAATGCAGTTCCTGTCATACTGGGTGATGCAGCTATAGGGTAGTGATGTCACTGTCCCTACAGATCACTCTTTGGGCTCTGAATGTTATCACAGAAGAAATAGGTCTGTGTCTAT